CACAAGGCTGATGAAACTGACCATCTCGCAACTAATAAGCTAATCTTATATATTGTGACCGCCCTGGTATTTTAAAATTTAATTTGAAGCATAGGTAAATAAACTTGGCACATCCAAATAGGTAAAAATTTTCAAAAGGTTTGAAAGTCTGATTTATCGCAGAGGTAGTGGTTCTTGGCTACCTATCTGCAGTAACAGAAGTTCATAAAGAATTGTTAAATAATATTTTACTCGAGAGGGATTGCAACTACGGAAGGCTTGGATTTGTTTGAAATAAGATTACTATTACTCTCGATAATTATCTCACAAGTCTCCGAAATATTGATCCTGGCAATTTTAGCAGCTAGAACATTCAGGTGAGGCGCATGTGGGATGGATTTGCTGCTTTAATTACACACAGTACACCAGATTCACATTAGTAAATTGAAATTTATATTCTCTGCACAGAGATCTGTAATAAACGAATGGCGCTCGCAACAGAACATGGAATGTTCAACGTCCCACATACCATAGCCTCGTATTACTACGGCACTAAACCTTGAATTCCTTGGTTAACGAACCCTCCCTCTATCTCTCAAACTCCGTTTAGGAAAGACAATATTCTCTGGACAACTTTATTGCCAGTTTTATTATAGGAAGAAAAATGAGAAATTCATCTAGAAAAAGAATCCCAAAATTTTCCCTCCTGTATGTTTACGTCTTGCCTCTTCATGATCCATGATTCCACAACTTGTTGTAAGAACGATGTATCCAAACTGTCTTGATGGAAGAAGGTTATTCTGCCATTTATCCATGTCACGAATTGACACATCAAATCTTGGGGCAATAACTCCACATTTGTTTAGTCTGCCATTCAGATGAACAACAATCTTGCCAGCCCTGTAATATATAAATACACAGGTAGTTAAATTTGCAATTACAGGAGCGATACTACGATATCGTGTATTGAACTGCAGGTCTACTTTGGATACGTATGTGGCTGTTGCCCCAAGGATGCTTGAACTAAGGTGTATCAAACTGATAAATAAGAATAACATAGTCTCTCACCGCACAATAATAAGTAATGTGGTATATTTGTTAGCTTTCTTCAGATGAAACAACACATAACCGAGAATATATTGTTATTCTAAAATAAGTACGGTAACTAGTTGCAATGAATCAATGTGCAAACTGAAGTAATCACAATTGTTCAATAATGTAACTCTCATCCAAAACGCCACAAAAAAGGCTTGCTGAAAATCAGGATGCGCTAGATTCTACCACCAGGATTACCACAAGCTGGCCGTTAACTTAGGCTTACTATATATATAAAACAAAAAAACTGGACAGTGCGGAGCCGGATTGGAGTAACCTTGGTTCAATTCAGAGGCTCAGTAATATTCAACTTGTATGTATATATGTTAGTAATATTCAATTTCAAATAATCGGAAAACGTGCAATTTTATTTCTGCATTTTGAATAATGTAACGTCAGTATAACATTACTATGCTGAATTGAAGTATTAAACATAAAAAATATGATATGACAATATAACAATAGTCTCTCTCTCTCAAAACTAGAGAAGTGAGTCGCAAATCAGTTATAAATGGACTGCCTCCATTAACAAAAAAAAACCGGGACATTTGAGTCTACCAGGCGGGACAAGATTGTTAACATCAGGACTGTCGTGGCTAAACTGGGACATATGGTAAGCCTATGTTAGCTCCGAGTGTGAAGTGATTAGCTCCAGCTACCTGTTTTTGAATGCAACTTAGCGAAACAAGCAACATAAATCTTCCATGAATCCTATTTCAGTACTATAACTGACAGAAGCCGAAAAGGGATGGAACAATTATACACGAAAATAAGAATATAAACTATTGGATCTGTCTCAAACGACTTTAATAAAAGTTGAGATTCTCAGGGAAATACAAACAAAGTGATCAGAATAATGAAGACCTCTGTGATGCCAATACTTTTATATATGGCAAAAATGGCCTCTGTTCATTTTAAATATATGGAATCATGATTATTATTAGTTCTCATATGAAACAGTTTGACTGCCTTCAAATGCCTTTCATGTAGCAAGTAGCCTACACATGTTCCAGCGTTCGTTTGTTGTGTTTGATCAAATGTAATTATTGCCCAAATGCATTGACATGTCTGTAACGTATTTGCGTCCGATACACTATGTACTTGTCATTTTTTTCAACTTGTATGCATGCTTCAATTTCCAGCACATGAAACGCCCGATGAGCCTTTCAATGCTGCTCATCGAGTTATTTTTGGCGAACGAGCACGTGCATTACGCGTTATAAACTTTATTCTTGAGTATTGCTCGTTTTTAAGGCATTTCTGTGATATGATTTTTTAGTTTTGATTTTTGATGAGTGTTGAGTTTTCAGAACGCACAGAAATAAATTTCAAGATGTCCTACCATTTGGTTCGATAAACCAACACTCTATTTGTCTCTGAAATGAGGGCGTCTGGCACAACGGCAGATCACATCATGACATCATGACTGTCATGTGACCAAAATCTCAATCTTTTACTATTAAACTCTCGAATGCTTGAATGCCAAGGAATTCAAATGATGACGTTTTCCGATTGCGCTTCCTTTTAGGTTACAGCGCAGTATAGGTTTGTGCTGATATGGAGGCCCAGACTGTATTGTAAAGAAGGTGTTTGCACTCACTGTTATAATATACGTCTTTTTAATGTGCTATTCTTGAAATCTGAGAATTGTGCCGTACGGTAAAGCAAGTTTCATAAAACGATTTACCTGTGATCATCTACGATCTCAAATTCCCCAATATATCCGTGTTTCATCATTACTGTCAAGAATTTAACAGTAACTTTAGAGCATGGTCGGATCAAGACTTGTCTCTTTCCTCTCTTCTCTGCATTACAAAGGCACTTTAAGGCATCAGCCAATACATTCATCCGAACCATGGTCGCACAATGTCGTCCAACCAGAGAACCTGTACATACAGACGTATTCACTTTACTGATGTTAACAACAAAAATGTGATACAGCACACATCATGCAATAGCTGCCAACAATACTAGGCTTTGTGAGTAATTATATTTATATTCAAAACACTAATAATCTTAAAATTTCTGGTAAGCTACCATACTCTATGGTTTCCAAATAGAGTAATATCTGAATGCGTTCGGCACATACGGTACAGAATTCTGGAATTACAAATTCAGTTATAATCTTGTTCTAGCAGTTGAGTTTGGCCCTTTACAATTGAAAGAATTAGAGTACTCAATGAATATGTCTGAGAAAATGCATCCTGCTAATTTGATAACGAGAAACAACTACCGGTACCGGTATTAAAACGACAACGAAACACTTCAAAAAATAAAACTTGTTCTACAGTCAAGTTTGCCTCTTTACGATTGAAGAAATTAGAGTACTCAATGAAATACGTCTGTAAAAATGCATCTTGCTATTCTGATAACTGAATATATACATTAAAACGACAACGAAATACCTCAAAAAACAATAATCAACTCACGCAAACGAGGAACACGGCGAAAAGAACGAGGCCCAGCACCCGTCGCGCATCAGCGATTGGGATATAATTATTTGGGAGGCTAAACTAAACTGCGGCCACGTGTAGCAAGAATAATAAAAAAACTTAAAAAATAGCTACAAGTTTTTAACTTGAATGTTAGATACAAAAAAAAATTAGATACAAATATCTCAATAATATTTTGAAGCTAGAGCATTTTGGATCCGGCTCTTCCATCTTTTTTAGGTGACCTAACGTAGTAAAATTGTCTCATGTTTTAAATCTTATTTGGCAATTTTTTTGAATTTCCGTCCAAGGTTTGTCATTCTAATTTATATATTTCACCTTTAGAGGAATATGCCACCTTTTTATTTTTCGATATATTTTGTCCGCGATGTCATGGAAATATTTCAGCCATCATAAGCGTTTTTATAGTATGGCATGGCATATTATTCATGAATACAAGTAGCATGTTAGAAATCATTTCATTTTTTACAATTCTTGGAATGACCAATTCATCCGATAGAATATACTTCGACTTCCAAAAAACAATTAACGACTAGAATTTCCAGATAATCAAATTATTGCCTAGCCTAGATAACTAACGCCTTAAGGTTACAGAAAAGTGTTAGGTCATCATTGAAATATGGTGTTGTAAGCATTTATAAATTTATTTCTAATTCAATTCACAGTAATTGAAGAGGCCATCGTCCACCAACGTTTACGTGGAGCAATGATGTCATTGCGTGGAGTACAAATAGTAGCAACGTTCACGTGGAGTACAAATAGTACTATTAGAATGATATTCCATTTTGTCTTTAATGCTCTCCCCCTCATTATTTACTCTATTGTGGCAAATGTAGTCGTCAACATCGACAACTGGTAAACAATTAATGGAGCCGTCATATTTTTCACAGTGAACATATTTTTTAGTCGTTATTGGACACGTGAGTGGAAATATGGATCGTTCTGATATTATGTTGTTGTTGGACATAACGATCGTTTTGTTGTTATGTTGTTCTTTGTATCGTTTTGAAGAAATCGCTTTCCTCTTCCAATACTGGACCAATTGCGTTGAAATTTTCAGTGGTTAACGATTGATTTTTTTCCTGAAGGCTATTACTTTTATTTTTTCCTAAATTTTCTATAAATCCTTTGAGATCTAATAGTTCATCCTAAATTGCGCTGTATTACATTTTAATTATGGGAACAGTTTTTAATCCACCAAGCGTGACGGCTGGCTGTGAAAATTCTCGCGACTGTGAACTCCGAAGTTTTTGAGGGTACGGTACCGGTAACTTCAAAAGTAAGGAGAAGGACTGCTTCGCTCTGGTCCACGTGTTCATATATTTGAGCCTTGCTCTCTTGTTTTTGTTTATCCTATCATATCCCAACGAACGACCGGTAAATTGAGACAATTTTAACGTTACCCTTTGCCCGTCTTCCAGGTCTTTGCCCGTCATCCAGGTCCTCTGTATTTTGTTTGTCTGTTTGTTGTTGTTTTGTTTATGTCAGAGTGACCAAATAAAATTGATTGATTAAATCGACGGATTTGGTTTTCTCTGATTATAATTTTACAAACACTCACCAGGATTTCAAAGTTCATGTAGTTAATTGTTTGTTACCAAAAACAATGGTTCCAAATAGGTCGTAAATGTAAATTAGAAGTCGCTTATTGTTACGTTGTTTACAAATCTGTCGTACATTTTGCTTCTGTATGCAGTGAATCGTGCGTTTTCCTTTCGATAATTTTCGCGTCACGTATTCGTCGTGTAAGAGCCACAGATATTTGGCCTGTTCACTTATCTGTTATATATATACAGGGGTGGGATTCAGCCGGTTCGCACCGGTTCTATAGAACCGTCTCACGGAATTTTATGAGATCAGCGAACCGATTAGCATTACCGGTTACTCTCAATGACTTTTTGTAGAAGAACCGGGTGAAAAATATGACTTTTGTGATGGAACCGGCTGACAAAAAAATTGAATCCCACCACTGTATATACAGTATATATATTGTAATTGTATTAGCCATCCGGAATGATGATAGGAGAACGCTTGGTAAGAATTTTGGGACCTCCTGAAGTATGCGCACCAAGATGGCGCACAGACTGAAATCATGTTGTGTACCTGAGTACCGAATTTTGCCTTGTGTTGTTCATATTGTTGTTATAATATGCTTTGTGGCTTGAGTTAATCAATTGTGTTTTATTCATTTAAGAAAACCGCTGTTCTTTGCCAAGTGTGTAAAGAAGAAGCTGATTTATGCGTGTGTCTTATCTGTGGATAAAGATGCAGAGAGTAGCGCGTTCAATACGTTTTCATTTTGTCTCGTCTATATAGATTCCGGGTTATCAAAAGACGTGACACTTATATAATATTTATCAACTGTCTGAAGTGGGCTTTTTGTTATAAAATTCCATTCTATTGTTATAAAAGGCTATTCTAGTTTAAACTGTGATATATATATATCATCATCATTTATTCTGACTAGCTACCTGTGTGCCTGAATTTAATGTTACGACCCGTTCTTTGTAGTTGGTATGGAAAAGATCGAGTGTGCAGTGCAGGCGGGTTAAAACATTAGTCTTTGAGCATTATTCTTAGTGCACATTATTTCAGCATGAAAAAGGAATATAACAATTCATAAGAAATTGATGTTTGTTGATCCAGATGCGTTAGATGCATTGTGTGCTGAAGCTAGTAAGCTCGGTGTTTAGTTAGAAAACTCAGGGAGGCAGGGATTTAATAACGCGACTTTTGAAGGTCGTTTTTCGTGTTTATAGGAATATCGGATATCGCCCATACATCGTATTACCGCGGGCGGTATTTTAATTGAAAACATCTCGCATATATTTTGTTTTGTGTTTTATCGTAATGGTGCGTCGCGACAATAAGATACAGCCGATATGGAAGGATTTCAATCAGCGCTGTCTAGAAATACCGTACCTATAACACGTCTAGGATGTTTCTGATTTTATTATTTCATAAAATATTACGAATAATATCGTTATTTCGGGAAAGTCTGGGCGGCCATGGCAATAAATCTATGAAGAAATTGGGTAGTTAAACAAAATTAACAATAATGGAATCGCAACATAATACCTGCGTAGAGAGATAATTGTGTCGGAATTTAGCTTAACGATGTCAATGGACTAAATCACTAGATGACACTCGCGCTTGACGATAAACAGTCAGAATTTATGACTGTGCCAAAAAGTGCGTGTTCTGTTAATAAAGACTTCGATTCTACTCTATTATTTAAAACTGGGAGCCTAGTTGCTCTTATTTCTGTGCTTGTCAGTTAACACCACAATTCATAGGTATACATACCGTAATACGTATTAAGTCTCTTTTCTTAGATGCAAGAAAATCACAATTCAATTTATATCACACATGCCTTATGACTGCTTTACAATGATAACATTATCAAAGCTTAATTTTTATGTCCCTGGATTTTATAAAAGTGAATAGTATCTATGTGGGGGATTTTAAAATGTATTTGGAATTCCAGTATCGAAGTATTATTTAGAATGTATTCGAAATAGTCGATGGACATTGCCATCCCTGCTCATAAGGTTTGGCAACCAGGGTGGTAAAATTAATGAATGTTTAGCCTTCTTATCCTATCAAATTGATATATTGAGTTACGAGCGCAAGATTTTGTTCCAATATAACGGCATATTTTGTATTTTACACATGAGATAATCCACTAACATTCGATTGATATATTTCTTCATAATTACTATGTAATATTAAAAACGTCAATATGAAAATTTGGCAGAAAAAATAGCCAACTTAGTTGTGCGTTTGGCTGATAAATATAACTAAGAACGGGTAAGAATCATAGTCCCGTTTCTACTCGCGGGGGTGGGGACGTGCATGGCTTATAGATCATGATTTCTTCAATAAAAAAAAATTAAACATCGGTATTCCAACTTATTTTTTGAAACATTCTGGATCATTTCAAAAAGGTAAACATATCGGTTTTCATTTAGCCGATATCGATACCGAAAAATTGGCCGATATTGCCGATACCCGATACCATTACATCAGTACATCTATAATACATATAAGCAGTAGAGTGCGTAGCTTAAATGCACTTTGTATAGCAAACAGAATTGCTTGTACCCAAGTTTCAAAAGTGTGAAACGGAATCAAATGCACGCATTCTAGCATGGAATGTGAGTTTCGCTGTAAGGCTAAAAGAAACTACAAAAAATTAATAAAATGAGGTATACAAAGAACTTATTTTCCATACTTTGCATTACAAAAAAAACAATCAGGTTTCCTTTGTACCAGGAAAGTTTGTTTTGTTTTCTCTCCTCAGATCCACCTTTTAAAAGTCGAGATCAAATTAACATGCACTTTTTATAAACTCAAGCCAGAATCTTAAATGGAAAACCCCATTCCATATTCTGGTCCAAGCGCACTGCTGTTTGAAACGCAACCCCTGATTTTATAGATTTACAGTACATTTAATACATTTATTAACTTGCGAGTGTGAATTAATATGGATACAATTTGCGATGCGTTCGGAAAGGTTTATCAAAAACTTCATTACTTCTTTTTCCTCACCAGTAAAAGTTGATGCCGTCTAATTGATATTATTATTGAAACAATCTCGAGTACTTGATATTGCATTAACATAACTGCGTTTGTTAGCTTCAACTGTATTGTTGTAATAATATTGACTTTCGGCTTGGGTATTGGATATACAATATAGTTGGTGTTAAATTTACTTACTCGCTTACTATCAGTGCTTTACAGTGGCAACATTCAGTGCTTTACAGCCATCAGTGCTTTACAGCCGTAACATTCAGAAAAAAAAATTACTACTTTATATTCGCCACATGATTCAGGATCTAAGGAATTGAATAACATAATATGGGTAAAGTTGTATTGAGGCGTAAATGCCATGTCGGCTCCAAAACTGCTCAGTTGGAACAAATATGTTGAAAAATGTAATCCGTTCAACATCGCTATTTGTTTTCGGCCCCATATAATGGAGATAGGGGCAATCCATATGGATCGTGACGAAAGAAAAATATTCGTTTTATTTCGATTTTAATCTGTGAATTTCAACAACAAAGCAATGAGATGCTGTAAAAAAAGTATGTGTGTACATGTACAATGTTTAGAGGGATATTTTCGGACACGAATTAGTAAAGGATTTTGATAAATAACATATGGTAAACGAAGCATGGAAACTCTTAGGTTAACATAAAAACTATATAGGTTACGACAGATTCAGTATAGTGTATAGTTGAGTCAGACACGTACCGTACTTTTTTACATTTTTGATTTGATAATAGTTAGCTTAGGAACAAAACTGATGTAGTTATATAAATCGCGTCAGATAATTGTTGCAGTCACTTGTAAGACCAAGCAAGTCGATTTGGGATTCAAAATATTTTTAAATAACAAATTTTTCGAACCGATTCTACTTACAACTCCAATTGTATCCACAAAAATGCATGGAGAAACTGATGCTGTTACTTTTAACAGTTTTGTTGCAAATGCATTTTTTTACTGAATGTTAACTTCCGTATGTGAAATGGACATACAACTAATCGCCATCGACTTTTCTGTTTGACTGGGAAGATGATTATAGATTGGGCCAAGAATATTTGGGTTTTTTGTCTCATTTCAATACAAATATGAAACAAATTCGGCAACATTAACACATAGTTTCGGAAACAAGTCATATTTTGTGAAAATATTGAGTTTTTATCTCGTTTAAAATTGTAAAAAAGATCCCAGATAGCTAATTCACAAAACAGAAATTCACGCGAAAACAAAGAATACGTTCACCATCTTTTTTCATTTTTAAATTTACTTCAAATTTTTATCACAGAAATAGGTGAATTACTAAAAAGTTAGTTCTAGTGAAAAAATGTTGGTTCGTTTTTTTGCTCTACTTTAGCAAGGGAAATTCGCTTTTTGGAAATATTAATATTTTTTATTTCAATGTATAATATAAATAAAATAATGTCCTCGTCTTGATTTAATCTATGTTATAATTTTATCATTAAGTGAACACTCTGATAGAATATATCAATCGAGAATTGAATTAATCAATAATGGAAATTCACACATCAGATAGTCCAAAAAGAAGCAATTGCCACGAACCTGGATGTAATGAAACCTTGAAAACGTTCTCATCTTCAGATCAAGGCCTATTGAAAATCAGCGGGTCTGCAGAACCGGAAGGGAATAGCATTCAATCTTTTACAGGCTATCGAAAATGTAAACTGAAAAAAGAGAATTTGCTACTTATTCTCACTGTGACAGGCAAGTAATGAGGTCAAAATGACAAAAGCATGCAGGTTACTGGTAGTAGTTCGAGTGAATGGCTTTTTAGTTTTGTGGTGAAACTTCATGTTCCCTAGCCCTTAAATGAACTTAACAATATTTATTCAACCCAAATATGAAAATTAATAATAAATAGTATATATAATTGGTCAAATTTTTAGGTGTCTGTTTTGGAATTGTCGTTGGATTTTCTGTTAGAACCACAAACCCGTCTGATGACGCAATCATACTCATCTCATTCCCAGGAGAAGTATTCATGAGACTACTGAAAATGTTGATTGTGCCGGTTGTTATTACCAGTATTGTAACAGGTACTTTGTTATTTCATTTGAAATTTCTTGGAATACCGATTCGAAAGTACCAACTGATTCGACCAACCTAATTCGTCATATTTGAAACATATTGCCTTGCCATATAGGGTATAAAACAACTACTATCGAAGTCCACGTACAATACATATTTTCTATCATCCGGATATGATTTACATATCTCTGCCGGGGGAGAGGAATGCCGATTAGACGGCTCAAACATATGGCGCAGGACGGCCTATCGTCCGGTCACCAGACCAGGTCGGGTATGGGATTAGTTTAGCAGTCTGTATGAGACTTTGGCTATAAAAAGCAATGAAATTCGTAATCGTCAGTTTATTATTTTTCTATAATGCAGGACTAGTCAGCATGGATCTGAAGAGAGGGGGGAGAATGGGACTTCATGCAATGGCATATTATCTCACCACAACAGCAATAGCTTCTATACTCGGAATTATTCTGGTGACATCCATCTGCCCTGGGGTTACGACGAAGCATTCTTCTAGCGTTCAATCGCTACAATATGAGGTTTCATCAATTGATGCTTACCTCGATGTAATGAGGTAAGATAATTTCATGACAAAATTTTAGTTGGCAAATATGCGTCTAAATTACTGTTTCCTCAGCCACACAACAATTTTTTTTTACATAAAAAATAGTTTTCATCCTCTCATTAACAGGAATATGTTTCCAGACAATATCATCACCGCATGCTTTGAAATGGTACGTGTGGCTTGTTTTCACAGTCCTGTAATATTGAACGCCTATCTCACGCGTAATCTAAGATAAGTTAATAATACGATCGTCGTAGCGTGAAATTTTTCAAAATCTCAAATAAATTTTTTTCATGCACTTAAGCTAAAGCAGTATAATGTTGTTAGCGAAACTAATGATAGGCTCACGATTTTCAATCGTCGAAACTAGCTTTGTCTTCAAGGCAAAAATAAATTGTTGTTATTTCGGAAAATAGACTAAAACCAAAGTAGTCAAGCATGGCGGTGATGCAACGTTGGCGAATCTTACTGTCAATACGGAACTGAACGGAACCACCCAGTTCAATTTAACAAATGCTACTCACATTGATATTACCAGAACACAAGAGCGAAAACATGGGACCAACGTATTAGGTGAGAGCAATTTTTCAATGAATAAATCATAATGAAAATGAATCATATTTGTTTAAAAATAAATGTGTGTATAAAAAAAGAAAATTTGAGTTATATATATATAGAGTTACACTGTATGATAACTTTATTATCGTATATTATTCTTTAGTATCGGATTCTATGATAATAACCACGCGAGATGCGTAAAATGAATGTGCAAATGTGAAACCAGCGTCTACAATTACATCGACTGCATATTATTGCTGCTTAACGGCAATATGGTGCAATGCTGCTTAACGGCAGATTCGGCAATAATTTTATTCATGTGAAACGTTACCGGTACTCCCCCAAACGACAGTCAATTTTTTAATCTGTCACTTATGCTTTCGATTTTATCTCTCCATTTCTTTGTGTTGTCACCTAGTTTTTTGTACGGGAACTACACATATGTAACATGCTAACTAATCTAATATTCTTGGCCTAGGTAAATTCCCAATACGACACCACAAATTTACAGTTATTTTCAAACTAGGACAACTTTTCTTCGCTTTTGTGCTCGTACGCGCTGATTGTAAGACTATTTCATATATGATATCAAGTACATATCTTCAACGTTTACGCGCGCTGTTTTACATATATATTTGCTGCTATTTTACATGTAATACTAAGCTTTAGTCTCACGACAGTTAAAAAAGAATTTTTTCCAGTTCATGCTGTTTTCCAAAATAACGGCATATTTAAAAGAAATTGTACATTCGAGGTGGGTTTAAAAGGTATGCAGGCTATATCGCTAAAACAAACAAACTTTAAAACGGTAGTGACAAAAAGAGGAACACTGGCGACTCACAGAAGCACTCCTTACACGAATACGAGGTATGCACCTCCATTAAGGTAAACTTGTATTGTTAAATACGTTATACTAGATTAAACACAAACAGAGTAAAATACACAACAAGAAAATAGTTAGGCATATAATAGGTATAGACCTATAGAATATAGATAATGGCCTATAATTTATGATGTATTTTAATTATATCTATATAATACGGTGTATGAAGTATATTGCCGCGTGAAACTTTATCTTGCTTTGCGTTAGCGTACTTATTTTTATTTATTGTAGTTTTATTTGATCCAAAAATCTTGGCATGTTCAGAAAATTTGAATATTCGATTACTCATCTTTATAGACTTGTTATTTTAACCTCAAATAGCCGTGACGCGCGATAATAGACTACAGCTAAACACGATTACCTCAATCTTGTAACGTAACTTTCAGTTTGAACAACTCCGACTGTTGTACCCCAATTCGCCGTTCCTGTGAAGCGATCTCGTGCATGCATTTTATCATTCAATTTTTACTTAGCCTATATGACATTATGCGAATACGTATGTTGAGCTGTCATTCTTATATTAACTTGAATCTGCCTGGTTATTTTCATTCAGGTCTAATCGTGTTTTGCATCGCTTTCGGAATAACGCTATCAAGCCTTGGAAACGAGGGTCGTCCGGTTGCCAGATTTATCACCGTTTTAAACGAAATTTTCATGAGAATGATGACTGTAGTAATATGGTAAGATACGAGAAAAAGAAAAAAGTTATATTTATAAATTTGTGTCAAAAATGTGTGAGTAACTTGTTATCACAGGACGTCGCCAATTGGAATTGCGAGTTTGATAGCCAACAAAATTTTGGAAATGGACAGCTTTGAAGAGGTCGGGAAGTCGCTTGGAATGTACCTAGTAAGTATTACAGATGGTAATGTATAAATTTATCTATCTAACTATATTTCGCACATCAATACTAGCAAAATTCTCTTTTTGATAATATTTATAGAAACTCTTTTTTTTTGTGTTTGAAAGGTGACTGTTATAGTCGGTTTGATTATCCATGCATTTATTATCTTACCGTTCATATACTGGTGCGTTACAAGAAGGAATGCATTTCGAATTGCATACGGAGTGATTCAGGCGATGCTGACAGCCTTTGGAACGTCTTCCAGGTATCAATTTTCACACTAATGTGTAGTATATGACTTATCGACAGAAAAATATTTATCCTTAGCCCAATCGCGAAGAATTTCAGGCTTGAGTTGAGATCGAAGGAGTCAGAGAATAACAAAAATCAATTTGCGTTTATTGAAGATATTTTACCTTAGTTTAGATAATGTTTATGTACACAAAGTCCACTAAACTAAATTGCAATATGATTGGAGGACTTCCACTACGTTATTTATCTGTCTTATTCTTGTGCTCAACAGCGTTGCTACTCTTCCTGTTACAATGAAATGCATGGAAAACAACTTAAACATAGACCGTCGAGTGACGCAGTTTGTTTTACCCATCGGCGCGACAATAAACATGGATGGTGCTGCACTACATGAGGCAGTGGCCGCTATAACTGTCGCACAAATGTACGACATACCACTTTCGTTTGGACAAATTATTGTGGTCAGGTAATGCTTATTATTAACTTATTATTTTGGATAATATTCCAAGTTTGTTTCAAATATTTTTGTCCCGTAATTTGCCACCAACATCTTTCATTAAATGCGAAATGAATAATCGCCTGCTATTCGTTCAACTTTTTTCCACTTGTTATTTGTTTGGAATAATTTATTTCACATGCTCGGACTAAGCACTTTTTAGAGGCACGCCGTATTCATGGAAAACTATTTAAAACATTGGGGTTGAAACAGGTAAGCACCTAAATCGGCACTCTTCTACCTATGTTATTATGACAGTTTTTTTATGCAAAGCATTTCATCAAGTTTAAGTTTTAATTATGTCTTTAATTTCAGTATCACTGCAACATTAGCAAGTATTGGAGCTGCATCTGTACCAAGCGCTGGTTTAATTGCTTTACTGCTGGTGTTGGAGGCAGTTGGTCTTCCCACTGAAGCTGTGGCAATATTTTGGTCCATTGATTGGTTTCTGTGAGTTATATATCGTCACGCTAATAACCGAATTGCGTAAGTCATTTTTAGCAGTTTTGAGAAAAACGTAAAAAACTTCCTAATGATTTTGTGTTGCAATTGAGAGTCAATAATTTGCCATGGTTCAATTTTTTGATCGTAGCCGGATTTAAGTTAATTTGTATGACGCAGTTAAGTGACGTCATAATGGCGCACTGTGACTTAGGCAGAAATGTGTCTATGAATTGGTGACATACGCAATTTTGCAACTTCACTATATGCACCAGTCCTGAAAACTAAACATTCCAAAAACGAATGTAATTCTCAGTATCTACAATGTCTAATCCCCAAAATAGCTAATCAGTTTCAATTACATCATTTTTTATGTTTAAAAATATATATTTCATCAATATAACACGTTCTGCACACCCACCGAAATAGGACTAAGATTAAATATAAAGAATAAAACAGCAATGCACCCAATATAAAAGCCAACCAAGGTAAATTTGACTCGGACAGTGAATATCACAAGTGTACGTCTTCCTATACTGTAGTAAAAATTCAAATAAATACGCGCTAAGCTAGAATCCGAGATGCAAAAACTCGAAAATACTTCGCCGAGGTTATTTTGCCTTTGTGACGTCACAAGAGTACTGCGGTAACAAGGATAATTCATTATGACGAAACAATTTCACAAATGTGCATGTCATACTAAATCTCCATTTTTATGGGTTTCGGAATTCCTAAAATAAAATCTGAGTTAACAGACAGGTGCGCAGCATTACATAAATACCTATTTTATAAAAAAACTCAAAATCGCCAAAAATGACTTACGCAATTCGGTTATTAGCGTGACGATATATTATGCTAATTATTTGTAGAAATCTCGCATTGGTGTATTTTCTCTCGTAGAATGTTGCAATGTACGTGCGCAATAATGAGCCGATGCGACTCAAACAATGCTTAATTGAAAAGGTTCATATATATAAATAAAAATCATTTGGATTTGGTTGTTCGCATTGGTTGACTTATATCCATTTAATTTTATAAATATTTCCCTTAAATATTTTCTCAAATTTTCAGAGATAGATTACGTACCCCTGTCAACGTGTTTGGGGATTGTGTTGGTGCAGCAATCGTATATTACAAGAATATAAAACAGTTGCACAAGTTGAACGGCATTAGAGATGCGCATAGCAACGGTCCAACAGAGTTGTCGCCATTGCAAAACGGCCGAGTTAAAGAAGAGACCTTTTAACCGCGCAATATGGACAGAATTCTGTGAAACTGCAAGTGTCAATGGATAAAACGATTACTCAATGAATTGAATGAGAAAACAATTTTTATATATATCAAAATCATTCCACGTCACCAATTGTGTGGGATAAAGCCGACAAATATTAGTAAGGCGGCATATATATATATTATTGCAGACTTGGAGACTATTTTACTAAAGAAATCAGCTTGTAACCCGAAGGATTCAATGAAAAGAAGTGTACAGACCTTACATTAACATGGGACTTATTTTTTCACTAATTTCAACTATACGCTCAACTTAATAATAGATTTGTCACACGGTGCATATCTTGAATTTAATGAAATTGCTTAATTAAACCAATGTATCCAATTATTTTTGATAAATATTGCTTGCTACTTCGTCATCCGAGTATCGATGGCAACAGATTGTCGCAAGCCTGTATATCATCATTGTAGCCTGCAAAGTTCTTTATATAGGGACACAGCAATAGAACCGCCTTTAAGTGAATATTCTGTTCCAACATACGGTACTTAGATATATGTACGTATACAATCAATAACTAATACAAGTATATGTGCCATGTGGTTTCTCTTTGCCATCTCAGCTGTAATTCTTGACTTAAGTAGCCAAATGTCTGTAACATCAAAAGTTCAAAAAAATACTAAATATAGAAACAGTCAATCGAAGCTGTATGGCTTCATCTTTTGCATCGGGGTCGTCAACAAGTTGCTTCAATTTTTCTCCAAATACATCAAGAGGAGCTTTACCCGGTTCAAACGTTGCGTGAAATCTCCGATTTAGAGGAATTCGAAACATAATATTTTTCCTATCCTCCAGAGTGACAGCAAGTTCCGTATCAATGTCTTCACCACGGCGCTTATTGAATCCCACAACTGATTCGTATAGGTCACTGTATCTCAGTGCCCATTGGGAAGCTGGATGGTCGATGTCAATTTGATATTGCCTAGTTGGCGACAGATAATATTTTTCTAATACGTTCATTGCAGATACGAAGGAAATGTCACAATCTTCTGCCTTTTTGGCCCAAAGTTGGGTATTATCTGCTCCGGATAGCGCAATAAGCCCACTACTTTTTAAAACTCTTTTGCATTCTTTCATGAATATTTCAAAATTCATATAATGAACGACATCGTGACAGATGACTAGATCAACAGATTTATCTGGAGTTGGAATATTGTATTCATCAGCAACATGAAAAGTCATTTTCGTATCTCCATCTCCCCACATTTTTTCGCTTTGTATATTTGAAATTCACTGTTATCGTAACCGACCAGAGAACGAAAGTACCTTAAAAACGGTTTTGAAAATTCGCCTCTTCCGCAACCAGCATCCACCATTAAGTCAAATAAATCATTCTCGTTATCTTTATTGAGTTCTTTCAACTTTTTAATAATATACTCCGCTGCTGACTGAGGAAATTTTAATGCAAACTGGCTATAAATATCAGATGAATCTTCGGATTTATAATCGTCCATGATTCCGGTCTCGCTATATATATGATTTCATAATATATATAGTTTATAATTCAAGGTTGTCATCGGAACAGACATTTACCCTTCATAAGTCTATAAAACTGTGGTTAAAGGGAAATCTCAGAAGTGAAATCGGCTTCATTATATATAATACTTTTGTACATCTTGGTATCTATTGTAAATCTACAATCTTAAAGGTTTCTGAAAAATATTCTTTTCTATCCTCAGAATATTGGTAACTGGTAAGTTCCTGTTAGGGACCTTAAGTAGAGATGTACCGATGTATCGGTATCGGCAATATCGGCCATTTTTTTGGTATCGGCCATGTATCGGTATCGGTTGGATTAAGGCCGATATTTCCGATATATTAACCTTTTTGATATGGTCCAGAATGTTTTAAAAAGATAAGATTATATAAAGATAAGACAAAATCCATATAATGAACGACATCGTGACAGATGACTAGATCAACAGATTTATCTGGAGTTGGAATATTGTATTCATCAGCAACATGAAAAGTCATTTTCGTATCTCCATCTCCCCACATTTTTTCGCTTTGTCTATTTGAAATTCACTGTTATCGTAACCGACCAGAGAACGAAAGTACCTAAAAAACGGTTTTGAAGATTCGCCTGTTCCGCAACCAGCATCCACTATTAAGTCAAATAAATCATTCTCGTTATCTTTATTGAGTTCTTTCAACTTTTTAATAATATATATACTCCGCTGAGGAAATTTTAATGCAAACTGGCTATAAATATCAGATGGATCTTCGGATTTATTATCGTCCACAATTCCGATCTCGCTATCTATATGATTTCATAATATATATAGTTTATAATTCAAGGTTGTCATCGGAACAGACATTTACGATTTACCCTTCATAAGTCTATAAAACTGTGGTTAAAGGGAAATCTCAGAAGTGAAATCGACTTCATTATATATAATACTTTTGTACATCTTGATATCTATTGTAAATTTACAATCTTAAAGGTTTCTGAAAAATATTCTTTTCTATCCTCAGAATATTGGTAACTGGTAAGTTCCTGTTAGGGGTCTTAAGTATGTCATGCGAAAGAATCGGTACAACTCATTCTAATCAATATCTCATCTTCGCGCGTAACCCCAAGCTTTCATTGGTGTAAACTCGATTATTTCGCTATATACTACATACAAACTGGTATGTTAGTCGTTGATACAAACTATACCTGTATATGCTTCACTGTTACGCCACTTGTGAATTCAGTACCATGATACTTTGATTTGGTAAACGCAAATAAAATTGAATTTCAGCTGCTGTTAGAATTTTGTTCATCTGTGCTCCTATTTGTAATTGATGCGCCACGCATGCTTCCTCAGTACAGTACGCAGTGGCGCGCGTGGTCATTTTGACAACCGAGGCAAGCTAATGCGGGACCAAGTCACCCCCATCTACGGGGACAGGATGAGCGCTGTAAGTTCTCCCATCATTTTATGAGTATAAAAACCATTCCATCGGTAACAACCAATCGGCAAAAGCGACAATTTTTAACGATAAGAAAGTGTCTTTAAAACCGGTCCAAGTCAAGGGATTAATAAATATAGACATAGTTTATTTTGAACCTCTTTCAAAAGGAAGGCAATATTTACCCAGTATAAATACAATGACATATTAACAGAAACTTCGGGAAAGCAGACAAAACCTAAAATAAGGTTTAAAACGTTACTATGAAGAAAGGAAAGCTAATGCAAAGATAAGGACATGCGTCGCTCACTCATAGATATATATGCTGCTAGACTTCTACTGCTTGAACATATATGCAACACGCCGCGGTTTCTTGGAAGCAAAATGCTCAATAACGCGCTGATTAAAGTCATGCATCCCAGAAATAACGTCTCTGTGAATGGATAAAACAGCCAAGGAATTTAATCTATCTTGCTTCATTGTGTTTCTGAGATACGTTTTAATACGCTTCAGCGTGCTGAATGTTCGCTCTGCGTCGGCGGAAGAAATAGGCGTCGTCAAAATGATGTCCAGAAATTTTGCAGACGCCGCAGAGGTAGTTACTAGAGTGTTATCTATGAGGAACCCATAGAGCGCGCAAGTTGATGTGATGTTCAAAAAAGTTTGATTGGTGTATATACATCGCAATTCATTTTCCAATTTACCCACGTTTATCATGGGGTAAAATTTGGAGACAGTAGCCAACAAATGGATGGGAAATTGACGTGCAAATTTTGAAAAATTTTTGGGGTTCATCAAAGAGAACGCGGCAAGGTGTTCAGTGCGCTGACGATCGCCTATTTGATTCACCAGAATGTCACAGCATTCCTTTGCAGACAAAATCAAACGCTGCGTTGTTTGCCCGCGGCGTAAAGAAGCACTCCATGTGTCGTCGTATTTTATTGTTTTCCGGATACGAGATACAGCATCGCAGAAGTCTGAAATACACGACTGCACAGACGCTCCATTCATTAGCCTTGACTGCAATGCGCCGTATAATACATCCACGTGATAGAATATTGTGGAGAAAAAAGCGAGAAAAAATGAACTCACCATCTTCTAGCAGACGCTTTAGACCTGCCACCTCCCTCACAGAGCGTTCGTCCCAAACCGGAGAGCTCTGAATGCCATTGAAACACTCAATGAGCTCAGACCTAATTTCGGACACGCCCTGCACCACGCGTGATTGGAAGTTCCAACGTGTTGGTGCACAAGCTGGGAGACGGCGGTTACATAACCACTGTGAAGCTAGTAGCAAACCTTCTTCTAATTTTGCGCAGCGGTGCGTTAAATCTCGTTTTTGTGCTCATTGAAGCGCGATATTGCAGTTTTGTGCTTATTGAAGGGCGTTGGTGTAAATCATGGGCGAGTCCTAAATTCCACACTGAGAATAACACTTAGTTTACAGATACAGAAGAAATACATTGCGATAAGCAGTAAATTCAAATATATTTACGGCAACTTGCGAATGAGTGGAGATCATCCCGGCGGTTCGATCGACTTTGGCGTTTCATTTGTTAAATTACATTGGCGAAAGTTTATATACTCGCCTGATAAAATGGGAACAGGAAAGATCCGTTGACAAAATGTTGGATTACGTATTCATATGTGTTTATAAAAAAAATAAAACAAAATAATGAAACTAGTCTTCCATGTCATCTGCATATGTTTAAAGTATTTACTACTAATTAAAAGTTATGATTCTTTACATGACATTTTGGGGTAATAGTTTCTCATGACCGCAAACCTTTATACGGGGGTGTTAGATGGCACTCCAAGGAGAGAAATTATTAATTTCAACCGATCCAATGTTGAGTCTAAATCATATGACCATCTAGACCAGTGGTTCTTAACCTTTTTTGCATATTTTACCCCTTCATAAAACAGGATTACAAAATTTACCCCTAAAACATCATTAATTAAAAGTTATCAAGTAAAGTATAAAGGGCCCTAACTGTAGACGCGAAGCCTTTTTTTACTCTCTTTTTTAATCCATATTCGCTTCTGTATTGAAAAAGGACCGGTTTTTACTTAATCATGCTAAGTGCGTTTTAGTTGGACAGGTTTCATGATACTATTTGAAAAGATTTCCATGCACAGAAGATACGTATACGTAAACTCAAAATCTAAATATTCGTCCTGATCAGGGGCGCAGCCAAGATTTTAAAGAAAGGGGGGAGGGGATCGAAATCTAAAAATCTCATTCACTGTTGAAACAGTGGTCGCGATTACGCGCTCGTTAAAAGAACCGTCTTTCCTCCAATCCCTGAGAATTTCTGTGCTATTTTAGTAGCATTTGTTTTCAACAACTTTTAGTGTGCTATTTTGGGGACAACATTTAATGGAATGGTTAAAATAACAAAGAACACCACTTAATTGAAGGTGTTGGTTTTCGGTTTCGTTTGAAATATAAGACTACTGTTAATAATACGATAACACTGATTTATCGCAACATAACGAGCCGTGGTTTATGTATGTTCATAATCATTTTTTACAATAACCAAATTTACCCCCAAGAACGAAGAAATTTACCCCCAGGGGTAAATTTACCCCAGGTTAAGAAGTGCTGATCTAGACTTAATTTACTAAACACTAAGATACCGTTGGAAAATCGTCTATGAAAATTTACGCGGTTCCCCATTTGCATGTGCTTATTTTCCTCAAGTGTTAATCCAACAATGAGATGGACAAATGAATGACTTAGAATGCTTCAAAGCCTAGTAAATTATTAAAAAATTTGATTGCCGTACACGAGTTATTACTTCGTATGAAATTGTGTATTGTATGACGTAACAATGGTTGAATTTCATTATTATATCTTGGTTATTTCAGAATTTTCACATGCATTTTGTGGTATATAGGCAGTAATCAGAACGTAAAGGAGTTATTGTTATTTCAATATGTCTCGATTACGTGAATTCAAAAGTTGGTTTATTTTACGTCGTATGACGTATAATATCCAAGCAGCATGCCCTTCCGCTCAATAGTAGTCAAGTTTCAATATTTAATAGAAAAAAGGGCTAACTGAAGTATTTCTCGCAACTTGGACAAAGCTTTTCGAATTTTAGAATTTAGAGTATTCTCACAGCGAAAATGGATTCATTTGTTAAAATCACATATGTCAAAAAATGGTAAAGATTACCATTTACAAATCCAAGCAGCCAAAAAGAGGGTAAAATTACCATTTTCAAATCCTAATACAAAGCCATTCCGCCCAAGAGGCACGAGATTCAACTATTCAATAATTAAGAGGGTTACCTTAAGTTTTATACAACTCGAACAATCCCTGCAAAATTTTAGAAATTCGAGTATTGTCACAGACAAAATGCCCTTATGTCAAAATAATTATAGCGAAAAAATCTGATTTAGCCAAATTTGAAAGCCTAGCAGCACACTCTTCCGCCCAAGAGGCATCCGATTTGATTATTTATTATTAAAGATGTTTATCTGAAGTTTTTCACACAGTTCGAACCTAAGCCTTGTTTTTATTAGAATCTAGGGTATTATCGAAGCGAAAATGGCCTTATTTGGAAAAATTACTTATAGCGAAAAAAGCTGATTCAATCAAATTTCAAAGCCTAGCAGCACACCCTTCCGCCCAAGAGGCATCCGATTTGATTATTTATTATTAAAGATGTTTATCTGAAGTTTTTCACACAGTTCGAACCTAAGCCTTGTTTTTATTAGAATCTAGGGTATTATCGAAGCGAAAATGGCCTTATTTGGAAAAATTACTTATAGCGAAAAAAGCTGATTTAGCCAAATTTCAAAGCCTAGCAGCACACCCTTCCG